CTTTATAAATCGAAAGAAACATGCTCCAATGCTAATTTACACCACATTCCAGAGTCAGCTCAAGACTGTCTACGAACCTGGTGTCCATATGATTTCTATGGCATGTGGTCTCGCAAACGTATTGGTCGCATTCATTTGGCTACAGGTATGTTTTGTTCAGTTAAAATTAGTGTGGAACTCTGCTGCTACCGTAATCCTACCATACTTCAGTTTAAGAGAAAATCAAATCATTTTAGGAGACCAAGAACTGCAGTTTGGATAACGTTGGAAAGAAGCCTGAAGAGGCGAAGGCGTAAGTTTAATAAATATGACCACGGTATAGTTTCGTATCCTTGTCTTACCATAATCTTTAAGTGACGCTAAGGAGATGGAAACACTTCTGCCAAAAGCAGGCGAAAATGCAGCAGCTGATGGAGCGGGCACGAACGCAAAGGCAGAGGACGGTGAGAAACATTAAGAAGCGACACAATGCGACAGCAACTAGCACAACACCGCCAGTCTTTCGCAATTCGTCCGTCGCACAACTCTACGCTCCGCCCACTCACATAGTTCGGGCTTTGTGTTTGTGTCCAAATAAGGAGAATAAGCTTTACTTTCGCTTAGAGATAGCCTTTTCCCCATTTCGTTTTGTAGGAAAAACGACATTTTCTTTCTTGCAGCAAATCCTTTTAGTTCGTATTACGTTGCATATTGTTCCTTTCTAACCAAATATTTAGCATTCACAATAATTCTTTCCCTCATCAAAGTTTAATTTTGCGTCTTAAGTTTCTATTATGTTTATGTGTGTGTGTTGTGGTTGTGGAGGTATGTTGTAGGATTGTTGTGTTTGTTAGGAAAACTAATCTTTTTTTGCGCAAAATTTATTATCGAGAACATTTCTCGCTCCATTTCGCGCCCAAAATCCCAATTTATACTTCACGGCGTTACAACATCGTTCGATCGTGTTTTACTTACTTTTGATTTCCTTTCATTTCGCATTACTTCTCTTCTAATGTTGATATTCATCGACTATATCGATTATTTACAC